TTAAACTTGCTTCAAAGGGCGTCACCGTCACTTTTGTTCACCTCGAATTCATTCATCACCAGATTATCAAATCTCAATACGACTCCACACAAGTTGACTTCTTTAGTGAAGCAAGAAATTCCGGCCTTGACATCCATTACACAACAATCAGCGATGGTTACCCGGTCGAATTCGACCGGTCTCGGAACTTAGACCAGTATGGAAAGTCCTTCTTGCTTGATTTCCCAACTCTAGTAGATGAATTTGTCGGGAAAATACTCCACTCTCATTCATCATCTTCTTATAACTACTTCTTGGTTGCTGATACTCTCTGTGTTTGGACTGCAAAAATTGCTAGAAAGTATCATATAGTGAATGTTTCATTCTGGACTGAACCAGCACTTGTATTTTCTCTGTATTATCATTTAGATCTACTGAGGAAAAATGGCCATGTCCCAGCAAATGGTTTGCAGGAAAACATAAACTATATACCTGGGATTCAATCCATTAATACAAAAGATTTCATGTCTTATCTTCAAGGTCCCGAGTCAACCATTATACACACTATAATAATCATTGGATTTGAGGAGGTGAAAAGTGCAGATTTCGTCATATGTAACACAGTGCAAGAACTTGAAGCAGAAGCAGTATTGGCACTGAAAGAAAACCAGCCATTTTACGCGATCGGGCCTATTTTTCCCACAGATTTCTCCACGAATACTGTCCCCAGGAGTCTTTTATCAGAATCAGACTGCACAGAGTGGCTCAAAACCAAGTCTCCTGGATCAGTTTTGTACGTCTCATTTGGCAGTCTTGCCAAGACTGATGAACATGTAATTCTTGAAATTGCAGAAGGGCTTTTCCTTAGTGAAGTGAATTTTCTTTGGGTGCTTAGACCAGGTATTGTAAGTTATGATGATGATGATGAAATTTTAACAGTTGGATTTAAGAACAGGATTAAAGATCAAGGACTGATTGTACCTTGGTGCAATCAGAATCTCGTTCTGTCAAATCCAGCCATTGGAGGGTTCTTAACACATTGTGGTTGGAATTCTATACTCGAAAGTATATGGTGGAGAGTTCCAATGATTTGTTATCCACTGTTTACCGATCAGATTACAAATAGAAAATTAGTGGTTGATGATTGGAAGATTGGAATTAATCTTTGTGATGGGTTATCCATTTCAAGAGAAGAAGTTGCAGAGAAGATCAAGATTTTGATGGGTGGTGGCAAATCAAACGGCATAAAAGAAGAGATGAACAGAGCAAGGGAAATTATGCAAACTGCACTGAATGGATCCTCAGAGAGAAATTTTGATCAATTTCTTAAGGATTTGACGGCTAAATTCTTGAAAAAATGAAAGATTAATATCGCTTTAATGTAGCTAATGAGATTTTATTAGAGGGTTAATAAGGTCATGTCTTTCATAATTGGTTTGAATCATATGATTTTTTGTGAGGTTCTCCAAAGATAAATGTGATTTTTTTTTTGGTCTGTCGCATTAGAGTCTGGCCTCTAGCCGAGAAATAATATTTTTCATTACTTTTTAAACTATATATTGATTTAAATATGGACTTTGATAGAAATCACAGGGCCAGTCACGGCTCCTGTAGCCCATCGCTTAAAATTAATGAAATCTCCATGAACTCCACTTGGCGTATAAAATTTCTTTCACATGGGATTTTTTGATAAGATTTTACTCACATAGATCCACCTCATGTGAGTTTTCTGGTTCCATTCTATAATGCATTATTCTGTGTGTACAGAATAATGCAATCTCCATGCGTTCGGCCAACTCAGCAGAGTAAATTTCACTTGCATTCATTGAACTTTTTAGCCTTAGTAGCAAATTAGGTCATTGAACGTTTAATTCAGTATAGTCAGACCATTGATATTTAATTCAAAGGTTTTAAAAAAGCCTTTTTTATTTTAATAATTTTATGACCATAAAATAAATAAAATAATGCATATCAAACAACTAAAATCATAAATATTATAATTACTTAATACATTTTACAACTAGACAACAATTCAAAGGTTCCAATTAGACTGCTCTTACTTAAAAGAATCGAGGTCGAGACGCTAATAATAAACATATAAAAGATATATGACAATATGTTAGATCTCGAGGATCTTGGTATAAGGTACAGATTCGCCTGAAAAGAGGTCTTCATGTTTCGATGGTGGAAGACAGAACTGAAGAGCAAAGAAGATCAAATCTTACTACCCTCCAACCGAGTTGAGAAAGTAAAACCAAGTCGAGGCTATGGCTAACTATCTATTTTTTTTTTCGACCTTGTCATGTAGCTAAGACATGTTTTCATTTCTTTTCCTTTTTATACTTAAATATTCTGTAAAACCCACTTAAAATTGTATTACGTAATTGAAAATTGTTACATTATGTTATTTCTTTCGATAGGTGCCGCCACTTTGGACCAAAAATTTTAAATTGCTGATCAATTGGAATTCAGAAGCATCCTAAAGTTGTTTGTACGCATCGTTTTCCTTAAAAAATAATAATAATAAAGGTTACGTGCGTGGGCCTAATATTGTAAAATACTAAATAGAATGCAACCCATTATCGACCCGACTCTTGAAAAATGTTGTAATTTAGAGCTTTGTTTGGCATGATTTTGAAAAGTAAAAAGGAGTTTTTGAGATTCAACGATTGAGTTTTGACCCACTTAACTAATTTTTTTTTTTTAAATATTTCTTTTGTTAGAAGAGTTTTTAAATAAAGTTGATTAATGCGACTTTCTCTATAAACACTTTTGAAATAAAAATCTATTTTAGAAATTAGTTTCTAAACAAAAATTAAGATAATTTCCTCAAAATACTCTTGCAAATGAAGCAAAAATAAAAATAAAAATCATATCAAACAAATCCTTATTAGACGATGGATCATTGGTTCATATTAAACCCGCTTTTTTTGATAAAATAAAATCTACCACGATTGTAATTTTTGATAAATCGTAGACAAGGAGCTCCATTCCGCGTGACCAAGCGTCAAAATAAATAATAAGTATAAAAATAGAGTGAAGATTTTGGGCGGGGTTGAATTTTATGTCTTGTTTAATATAAGGGTTAAAATATTCATTTTTGTTGATATTTTTTCTCATGAGAAATTATTTATTTATTTATTTATTTTCAGAAGAACGAGGAATATTCTAGAATATTATAATCTGGAGTAATACAATTTTCCAGCAAGAATTATTGACCGCAATTAAAGACAAGATTAATATTCCAAGGCAATTTTAACCAATTCAAAATTGAAGGCATTATTTTTTTATTTCCTTCCCCGCGTGCATAACATTTATTTTGATATCATTGATGTACACACTCGAGGGCAGCTTTCACTTCCAAGACTAATAAGAAATTAAGGGGGTGTTTGTTTCCCATTTTTGTAAAATGAGAATAAAAAATATAGTCGTTATGGACCCCACACAAGAAATAAAAATTCAAATTTGATGGCTGGATGTAATGGATAACGGTTATATTTTTCATTTTAACGAGGAAAGAGTGAGAAACAAACTGAGGCTAATTAAAGTTATAAAAACAAAAGATAAACTTTTATTTGATTGATCATGCTTAAAAATCAGGTTCTTAAAATGTAAATAAAGTGATAGCGCAATTATCACATTAGACTCGCAAATTATTTATTTTGAATCACAAAAAATCGACACTTATGAGGAAGACATCTGCTAAACACTTATATGCAAATTATTTGATCTCATTGAGCGTTTCAATAAACTCTGCTTATATTTTTCATATTTCGTTTCAACTTAGAGTAAAGAAGAAAGGTTTGTAGTAGATGATAATCAATGTAAAATTTTATAAAATCTTATTGCGAACGATATGGCAAAAAAGAATCAAAGTAGTGGATTCCAAATTTATTGAGAATTGGAGTTAGTCGTCATTTAAATGCTAAATTTAATCAAAGTCAATTTCAATCAAATATTTATAATTACTAATATTATTATTCATCCATTTTGAGGGACTTGTTAGTCTCTGTTTTAATATTATAAATTTAGTCATAGTTAAAGTTTAATTTCAAATAAAAATTTAGCTCATATTTGAGCCACATTCTAGAAAAAAGTACATTATTATCAAATTATTGTTGAAGAATGTATTTTTTTTAAATAATATGGTTCAAACAACCCCTTATAATCATTACTATTACTATTCATCCCTTTGAAGGATCCACTATTATTATTCTTATTATTTTTTATCTAAAATATTTATTATCAGAAGCGCATTCTTCCCATTGAGCTAATAGTCAGTCGCCTCCCTCCCACCGGGGGGTCCACTATGTCAAAAGCGAGAAAAATTTCATCCCTATCTTTCAAAAGGATTCACGATATGTTAAGTCCTGATAAGGTTCTTTGTTTTACATCGAATTAAATAAATTTGTCAAAAGAAGACTTAAATTTTTATTTGTTTATCTTAAAAAAAAAACAATTATGTGATGATGAGTAGGGGAAACAAGGACTCCCAAAATCACAAAAAGGAAAAATAGAAAAAAGAAATAAAAAAAAGAAAAAAGGAAAAAAGAGAGCATTATACAATAGAAAAGAAATTGATATACTCATATACACACAACTTAAGGTATCTACTTTGAAACAACAAAGGAATTTTTGTAAATAAAAAAAGTAAAAGTTACAAAAGGTTAACAAAGAATCTTTCTTTCTCAACAAGAAAGGGAGCCAATTTTACTTATAAATTTTTTTACCGAATCTCTAGATCTCCCATTCTTGTTTTTCAACAGGCAAAAATTTCCGAGACCCGTCTCCAATTTTTTCCTTCAATCTGCATATATATCATTATGAGTAAAAAAAACAATTATGTGATGATGAGTAGGGGAAACAAGGACTCCCAAAATCACAAAAAGGAAAAATAGAAAAAAGAAATAAAAAAAAGAAAAAAAGAAAAAAGAGAGCATTATACAATAGAAAAGAAATTGATATACTCATATACACACAACTTAAGGTATCTACTTTGAAACAACAAAGGAATTTTTGTAAATAAAAAAAGTAAAAGTTACAAAAGGTTAACAAAGAATCTTTCTTTCTCAACAAGAAACGGAGCCAATTTTACTTATAAATTTTTTTACCGAATCTCTAGATCTCCCATTCTTGTTTTTCAACAGGCAAAAATTTCCGAGACCCGTCTCCAATTTTTTCCTTCAATCTGCATATATATCATTATGAGTAATCAACCTGAATCTTCAGACTCGTAAGTCCTTCACTACATTCTCAGATCTCCGCTTATTTTCATACGTTCATGTACAGTAAGAAGTATATTTACTTGTATTTGATTGTTTTTTCTTTTTGGTTGAATTTTGTGGGTTTTGTTTATGATTTGCAGTAGGGGTGCGAAGAGGGATTTCAGTACGGCGATATTGGAAAGGAAAAAGGCGGCGAATAGGCTCGTAGTGGACGAGGCCGTTAATGATGATAATTCCGTGGTTGCTCTGCACCCTGATACTATGGAAAAGCTTCAGCTTTTTCGCGGTGATACCATCTTAATCAAGGTTCGATTTTGGTGTATATGATATTGATTTGAATTAATAAGTTGGTTATTTTCCTTTTCCTGTACTATATATTTGATATTGTATGGTTTTGAGGTCGAACGTGATTGGGAAGTTTAGGGTGTCGTGGAATTTAGTTTTTTAGATGGAAGATTTTTTGGAATTTTAGGTCTGGGCAATTTCGAAATTTAACGAAATTTGGCCTCTTAGGCATAATTGGGTTTGTTCTTTAGCTGACAATGTATTAAAAATTGGATGTATGGAGGTATACTAGGAATTCTACTATACTTTTTGCCTTTATTATTTAAAAGCCTCTGGCCTTCTGAGATTGGATTTCTTTAATTTGTCTTCCGTTCTTTCATTGAAACTTTCATAAATGAAGTATAATCTTTACAGCTGATCGAGAACTACTGATTTGGATCTAAAACTTGCCGTGCCTAACTGCAAATTATTGTTGTAGAATATACGGATAATCATGAATGAAGATTTGCTCTACTATTTATCGGTTTCTATAAACGGACATATTATAATTGCCAAGTATCAATTTATTGGAGCTCTAGAATTATGTGAAACATGCCTTATAAAGGTGCATTGTTTTTAGTTGTGTATTTTGGAGTTAGGATTTTAAATTTAGCCCCAGTTTGGTGGCCATTATTTCCAAAACAATGTTTTGAATGGTGATTTTTAAGAGAATGTGTGGTTAAAAAGTACGGGAAAGTTTTGAGTTTATGTGTAGAATATTTTATTGTATGAATGTGTGGTTGAAAATGAGTATATAAAAATGAAAATAAAAAGATTTTTCAAATAATGGTTGTCATTGTTTAGTATGAATGCGTGTTTGAAAAAGAGTTTTCGAAAAATAGTTTAGTGTTTGTAGACCTTGAATTGATTTAGGGACTTTGATGCTAATGTGTTGAGACTTATGTTTAATACAATTTGCCATTGTTATATGTTTACTCATTTGGTTCTGATTTCGTGTAGGGTAAGAAAAGAAAGGACACAGTTTGTATTGCACTTGCTGATGATACTTGTGATGAACCAAAGATACGGATGAATAAGGTTGTGAGAAGCAACCTCAGGGTTAGGCTCGGAGATGTGGTCTCTGTTCATCAATGTGCTGATGTCAAGTATGGGAAGCGTGTCCACATTCTTCCTGTGGATGACACCATCGAAGGTGTTACTGGAAACCTGTTCGATGCATACTTAAAACGTAAGTTTCTAAAGCATTTAAATTTGTGCATCTTGTTGAAGTCGTTTAGTCTAATTAATCATTTCTTCTGTGTTCTTTCTGATACTATTTATCCTTGACATTGTGGTGAATTAAAATTTAACATGCTTCTAAATTTTAACTCAGTATGATAAAGCATAATTTTCTTCAGCATTTGATCTATGAATTTCTTTCTCTTTCCAATTTCAAACTGTACTTCTTGATTTTTTAATGATAAATTGCTCTAGTGGATCACAAACAAATAAACTCTGGAAAGTGGTTTGTCTGCTGATGCATTATGCGAACTATTAATTGACTCTCCTTGGATCTTTTCTCATTTGAATATATCATGGCAGTTTTGGTTACCTTACATTATTTAGATTCCCAACTAAAATAGTGTTAAGAAAGAAAAGAGTTTCTTTACATATGTATAGATCTATGAGGGAAAAAGTTAGCAGCATAATTTTAAGATATGCTACATCATTTTCCTTCACCCCCCCCCCCCCCCCCCCCCCCCCCCCCTATTTTCTTTTTTTTTTTTTTTTTTTTTT